CACACACACACACACACACACACACACACAGAGGACACTTAATACTGAAACCGTTCGGCAGCAACGAGCGACTTGTGTCTTTACTCTATTACAATCGGCTACGATCTCTAACAAACAGAAATGCGCGCAAGATGATCGTTCAGTTTTGCGGCGTATTGTCGTCGTCTTGTTGATCGCTGGTCTCTGCCGCAGAGGGTATGGTTGCAAGGAGCCTGACGGCCAATCTGCTCGGTGATCCGGGTGGTTCCGGTTCTTGTATAGCCAGCTGACGAGTGAGCCGTGGCTTCGACCTGGTCGGTCTGGGCGTGTTTCTCGCGGTTACCTCTAGCGACGCGCTGGACCTTGAGATTCTCCAAGTGCTTGTGCTGGCAGTGGTGGCAGAACCGGAGGAATCGTTCCTGGAGGAGCTGAGGTTCGAGTCTTGCGACGGTTTCCTGGTGATCAGCCACGAAGAGGCTCTTCGTTTCGGGTCCAACAGCCTCAATGGGATGCCGCAGTGATGTGTCTGCCTCCAAGAGTCCGACCTAGACGAGGAGAAGTTCTCACTGGAGGACACGGACGAGGCCCGTTTGTGCTGCTTCTGTTGAATCTCGGCGATCTGGTAAGCGTACTGATCGCTACGGGCGTGTCTGGGTCTGGTATCCCTGGCGCATGGCCACAGTATCCTGGTGCCCCATCGCCGGTAGCCGGAGCACTGGCTGGCCTCGAGCAGTCTTGAATTACAGGCGCAGGGTGTCTGATTTTCTCGCGACGATCTGTCCACCAGACTGTTCGTATTCACAGGTGTCTGCCTGTTGCTGAAGTTGGAGCTGTGCCGACATCGGCCGATCCCCCTGGTCACCCTAGACTCCTCGATCGCCTTGCAGATAAGCACGCAGTCTTTCTTGAACTGTTTGGTCAAGATCGCGTACAGAAACGGGTTGCAGCAGGAGTTCAACGGCAACACGAACACGGCGAACACTTTCGCTTGTTCGAGGGACACCAGCTGCAACCCAAACGTGGCGGTCAGCGAGAAGAACGCTATGGGTGACCAGCAGAGGAAGTCGGTGAACACCAGCAGAGCCATCCGCTTAGCAATCCGAGAATCGTTCGAGTTCCACGCCTGCGAGCCTCTGATCGCGCAGTACATCTTCAGATAGCATCCCATCAATATGAGAAACGCAACGCCGTTGATCAGCATTAGGAAGATCACGTACGCCAGGGCCGCGTTCCCATTAGTCTCGAATGGCAGGCATATGGCGAACTTTCTGTAATCCGAGACACCGATCAGGGGCAGACTTGCCATCGACAGGGCGAAACACCAACCTACGGTCATTATATAGCCCGCATGTTTCAGGGACAGTCTTTTGTTCAGGTGCATGGCGTGTGTTATGGCGTAGTTCCTTTCCAGAGTGATCACCGCCAACGTGTACACGCTCAATTCAGAACTGAGAACACCCAGGAAGCCAGCTAGCTGACATCCGGCGGACGTCTGCCACGGAATGGCGTACATCCGGAATTCACCAAGCGTCGATGCGTCCACCACCGCCAGCAGGCCTTTAAAATTAACATTGAGATACATTTGAAACAAGGTAAATTTGAACAGCCTATGAAGAACGTTCTCGTATATACTTTTCTTTCATCCATCTGACCTAAATAAATGCCCATGAAGAAATCTGCTGCCGCGAGGTTGCAAACGAGAAACCGAGGAACATCCATCTTGCTTCTGGAGAATATCAACACAAACACCACGGTCCCGTTTCCCAGCATGGCGAGCAAAAATACCACCCATACGCCGCAACGTAGAGTCCACCAGTCGAAGAGATCTTGGCACGGTAAAAAAGGACCTGGCGAGGAAAATGGTGAGATATTTCAGATATTCTTTCACTCGGAATTGTTACGATCAAGAGTATTCGTATCGAAAAGTTGACATTCTGTTGAAATTACCAGGTTGAGGTAGGCACTGTACGTGAGAAGGCAGCGTTCGAGCTGGCAGCGTAACACGGCTGTTCTGCTCTTCAAAATAATCCTCAACATATGAGGGCAGGTTACCAGGGTACGTAAAATCTGAACCAAAGTTAGCCCAAAGTTCATTTATTTGCGAGCCAAATTTGTCGGTCATGTTATCTAGAACACGTCATCACCTCAGTGCTGCAAAGTCGTTTTTCCTTTTCTGTTCTTTTTTTTTTTTTTTTTTTTTATATTTGATTTGATTTGATTTGAACGAATCGATGATTGAAGAGAGATATTTGGATGATCCATTCGCATTTGGTAGAATGTGTGTTGTCGTGAGCTTATGATTCTTTTTTTTTTTTTCTTCTTCTTTTTTTCTTTTTGACGATTTGGTATATGGCAGATCTAAACTACAGAGAAACTACTGGAGAAATGTTCTTAGTTGTAAAGAATTGAACTTGTTTCAAACGAGACTCTTTATCCTATCTTTGGCCTTGAAGCATTTGAACCTTAAGCGTCGGAATCTGTTCGTCAACGCGGAAAAACACGGACGTGTGTGAATTGGAACTTGCAACAAAGTAAATGGACTTGCGCGGCTTGCGCACTTTGCAGCATTTCAGTGTCGAGTGACAAACTGTAAAAATGTAACAAGCTAAATGTTTTAACAGAGCAAAGCTACTACACTGCAGCAATTTCTTCTGAACAAAATAATAACACGGAATATCTTCATCGTTTTCCATTAAGAAACAAAACTTTTCAACGTAAACAGCGATCTCCGAAAACTTGTTACTTTTTCTCTTTGTTGAGTATCGGTAAGGTAACACAGTTAGTGACGTATTTTGTGAGAGGTGTCGTGGCAGGAGATGATTAGTGGCAATGAGTAAAACAATTTGGAGGAACCTTCAGTTGTATTTGAAGTCAAACCTACTGGAGTTAAACAAATTGTAACATCAATATGAAGATGAGAGAATATCTGTTGAAAGAGCAATGGCAAGATATAAAGCAAGTGCAATTCTGAAAGCAGTGTGAAATCAGTATCAACTTGAAGGATCCAGACAGTGAAAGCTCCAAGGATCTCAACGAGGAAATCAGTCGTTTGAACTCGATTACTTACTCAGCTGTGGCCAGATATCGGTGAAACTCGAGTTCCACAGACTCATATCGAAGTCATTGTCTGTAGGGAAAAAGATAGACTCCTGAACGGAGGATTTGGTCACCGGATCTTCCACCTCGACCGACAAGAACGAGCAACAATGATAAGCGTACGACAGTACCATCGTTTGCACACGTGGAAACCTCTCTGGTGCCGGGAATTCTCTCAATGCTGGATTGTTGAACGTTTTAAGGTGTAACAGGCCTGACAGTCCCGACGTTGGCAGTGCTGGAAATACGTTGTTCCCGAGATTTCTGAAAAATCGAGAAAACAATAGATCAATCGTGCGCGCGCGCAACAAGCCAATGAATATTATATCAATCAAGGGAAGTTGTTAACAAAAAAGTAGAAAAGAAAAAACAGGACAGAAATTTCAGCTTTAAGTCGTTTTATATTTAGAAACACGAAGAAATGATGATTTTTCAGAACGGTCTTCCCTTTGACACTCACAGATCCTCTAAATGCTTCATCTCTTTAAACGCGTCAGGGTGAATATACTCGATGTAATTGCTCTCCAGATCCCTGAAATCATAAACTTCTCTTTCTCAAGACGGTAACGGCAGTTAAGGGGGATTAATTGCAAGCGACAACACTTACAACACCTGCAACCTCGACAATCCGGTGAACGCGCCGCTTGGGATCACTTGCAATTTGTTGTTCGACAGAAGCAGGTCGTGCAGCATGCTCAGACCTTTGAATGACTCATCTGGCAATGACGGAATCATATTACTGGCCAAGTCCCTACGAAACGAACGAATTCCCTCCTTATATATGAGATAAATAATTCAATATTGGCGACGTCATATTTGCTTGCTCGATTATGTATTCCGTCCTTTAAATACTTACAAAACCCTGAGTTCGCTGCAATTTCGTAGATTTGGCACCTCCGTTAGAAGATTCGATTTCACGTCACTGAAAGTGATTAGAAAAGAAGAATAAATTTAATAATTTAATTTCGATACTAGATTACTTGATAGATTGGTATTATATCAATGTAATTTGATGAATGAAATGAAAAATAATTTTGACAACGAATAGAATGCAATTTCATAAAGAGAGTGAAATACCTAGAGTGAAATTAATTAGCTTAATCACGCATGAATTATCGATGAAACATGAGTCCTCAATTTCAATCAATTGAAATTCCATCCGCTTTGTATTAATTCGTTCACGGTGAAATCTCGTTTAGGATACCTAGAGCTAAATCTAAATGCAAAATTAATTCCTACAACATAATTTCGTCCGAGATGCACGGTCGGACAGCTTGACAATGAATTTATATGTCAGTTTAACTTCATCAACTTTCCACCGTGTTATAATTTAATTTCCTACGAATCATGTTGCATCGACATTCGACTAATTCATTATGACAGAGTATCGTTTCAGGCGAATAAAATCTGACTGGATTTACTATATATAATATATATAATTAATAACATAGTATATATAATATATATAATTAATAATATATATAATTAATAACATAGTATATATAATATATATAATTAACTAATATATATAATTAAAAAATATATAATACTATATTATTAATTATATTAATTATTAAATAGATTTGAATGACAGAGTATCATATATATATATATATATATATATATACAGATATCATATGACAGAGTATCAT